ATTGAAAGAAGGAACTTTGGGAACTGTTTCTTAAATCACACTTGTCTACATCTCTGCAGGGCCAAAGAGAGGCAATTTCGTGCAAACTAGGCAGGCCACCTGCCCTGCACTGACTCTTCAAAACTCCACATTACTGTGGGTTAGTAGGACAGGGGGCAATGGGTGTAAGTTCAACCCAGGCAGTTCCACCTCCATGTGAGGAGGAACTTCTTCCCTGTGAGGGTGCCAGAGCCCTGGCACAGGCTGCCCTGGGAGGCTGTGGAGGCTCCTTCTCTGGAGGTCTTCCCAACCCGCCTGGATGCCGCCCTGTGCCCCGTGCTCTGGGTGTCCCTGCTGGAGCAGGGGGGTTGGACTGGATGGTCTCCAGAGGTCCCTGCCAACCTCAACCATGTGATAAATGTGATAAATACTAGTCTGCTGTTCAGAGTCCCATGCGTTTCAGAACTTTTTATGGAAAGCGAATATGAAGGAACATCTAAGATTTCTTCCTCTGTCAGAAGCATTATATGCATCAAGTTACTTGAAACAATTTTCCAAATTTTCATGAATGAGGCTCATTTTACAAATTAAATTTTGCATGCATCTAAGAAAATAAAAAAAGAAGCAAACTTTTTATTTGCCATTATTCATTGACTTAACAGGGAGATTGTTAAATATTTCTCATGCCCTGTTAGGCGGCATAATTAAGCTTGAAACCAAGAGAACTTTTCCTGACAATCCTCGGTAATAATCTGGGGGAATAATAGCTTCTGTTTACTCCCAGTTTTTAGTATGTGCTTGTATATACATGCGTTTATTAATCATGTAGCAATATTACATTAATTAACTGAGAGACGATTCAGGCAGGAGTGCTAAGGCTTTATGCTGTTGCTGTGTGCAATTCATTGTTTTAAAATACAACTTGAAAATGGCAGGAATTATCTAATGCAATAGAATGTGTTACTAAATAAATCACTAAATAATTGCTTATCTTACTAAGTAACTGTGTATCGCTTCTTACAGGCCTGTTGGACTGTCCAAATCAGTTTGCGCCTTGCAGAGGAGATAAAAGGTGGATAAAAGCTCCTCCCTAAAAAAAATACTGGGAAGGAAAGGCAGGTTGCCCGGGCACGGAGACGAGGAGGGAAAGGCTCGCCGAGTGCTTTGGTTTTCTGCTGCACGGCAGCTCACCTGCACTCTGTGATTCCTGCCCGTTTGTTTACTTGTAGAAACAGACTCTGATTAGGCTGTACACAAATATGTGTACATATTTTTTTGCAGTCTTTAACACAACTACAAACAGCACCATAACCTACATGGGTTCAGTGCTCATCCTGGGTTTGGCCATTGCTTCAAAATAATTTTGTTTTCTGACTCATTGATTCCATAAACCTAATTTTTAAATTAATCTTTTCAGGCTTCAAACTCACTAGATCCAATTACGAATACAATATTTCCCTTAAAATTTAATATTCTGGAACTGGGTGGTCAGTGCTTTTTGCCCCTGTGTGCCTCCTTAGTACTAAACTTTTTATTAGTTGGGTTATAAAATGAAACCTCTAAGGAAGAGAGCATCGCAGCAGCTCCAGTTTTTAAATCTATTCAATCACAAGCAGTAGTATGAAATACTTCCTTTCCTGCAACACTGCCTTTTAATTGGTATTATTATGCACAACAGGTTATCATTATGCACCACCTCATTATGTACATTTGACTTTGCATACTAGACCAAACAGGAACACAAATGCAGATCTGGGTTATATTTGTCAGGGAGAATCTATATATATACCTATATATATATAGATGTATATATCTATATATAGAGATATATAGATATATGTATGTATATGTGTATATATATTCTAACTCTGATAAAATCTAAACATTTGGCTTTGTCACAAAGGGTAAAAACAATCTTCATTTTTTCATTTGAGTAATTTGGGCAAAATTACACTCTGTTGGGAGATATTTGCTATATATATATGTATAGCTTTCTCACAGCTAGGAGCATGGAGAGCATCAGAGCATCAGTGCGCAATGGCCCTGTGTAAGAGACAGATTTTTTTCAATAGGATGATGAGAAAAATCCTCATTCTGGACAAAGCGATCGGCATTCAGGGATGTCTGATTTGCAGTATAACTCAGTGCCATTTAGAGGTATTAACAGTGATTTATTCATTACTGCGCCAACCATCCTATCATTTTAAGCACGTGCTTATTACAGCATTTCTTATCTGGGGGCGGGAGGGAAGACTGCTTAACACAATCCATTAAGAAATTCAAGCCTCAAATGAAGTGACCACAAAGGCCTATCAGCTCCCTGCAATGCAGCAGCTGCACACATTGAACGTAACGCAACACGACGCTGTGGCAGAAGCCCGCCCTTTAAAACATACATCTGGCTGGTGAAACGCCACTAGTTTACTCCTCTGTTTGGAAAATGAGAAAGTGTAGAGCAGCAAAACTTCTCCAATACATAAATAAACATTAGGCTCATGGGGAGGACAGGTACACTGTTGGCCTGGTCAGAACAGCTTAGAGGTCAGCATTAAATCTGAAGCTATCGCAACCTTGTTCCTCTGATCTTGCTCCTCAGGTTCTGCTCTACTACTAACAAGTGAAGCGCAGATTCAGAGGCATGAGGGTCAGCTAGACTCTGCAACAGACTCAGTGGCCACATTTGCTGAGGATTCTCCCCTCTGATCATTTAACATCCTGGATACCTGCAAGGGGCAGCTCTGCGTCTCCAGTGTCGCAGCAGGTCCTGCCCAATTTCAGATTTCACAGGGGCAAAGGGGCATTAAGGTGACTCATTGCCTTAAACTTTGAGAGGGAGCTAATGTAGGAACCAACACGCTACCAATTCTATGTTATTTTGCTGCATTTTATCAATTTTTCCCACAGGACACTTTTTTTTTTCTTTTGTGACATCTTTAGTGAAGAATAGGACATTTCAGGGGAATATAATGGAATATTAAAGATTGGGAACTTCTGTTGTTATTTAGATATCTACAAATTAAAGAATAGTACAGAGAGCTTTCCGTTTGAGAAGCTGAAAATACCCAGGACTGCAAAGCTTCCAGAAACAGCTAAGAGAGGTGCAGGAAAGGAAGCCAGGGGTACGAGCTGCACTAGTTCAATCCTTCTTACAACAGAAGGACAAGGAGGTACCCAGTAAAGCACACAAGTAACAAAACGAAAGACAAGAAAAAGGGAGTTAGGAAAAGGCTGAAGTGTATCTATGCATTATGGTTAACATGCTTTTTTTTTGTTCATATGGGATATAACCCATATGGAGACTCCCCTGTGAATTGGTTGTTGTTTCAGTAGCCTTTCCAAGGTGGCCTGGTCTACCTGGTGCTCATCACTGCTAGGCACACGGGGCCACCTAACTAGGACCACTGGCCATTTCTCCATTACCTTGACCTACCTTCCTCATGTAAATTTGCGACTGAAAATCACGGGAACCTCATCTGACAGTGGTCTGAATCCTGCTGCCCTTCAGCATCTAACAAATTGTGGGCCATACTGCACTGCACACGCAGAAAGGTGCATCTGTGCACACACACGGGAACCTTTCTGCCGCCGCCCTGAGCACCAGACTACTACTGTCTTTCTTTGCTTTGAGATGAGGAGTGTGAGGAGAATTTATTTCACTCCTCCGCTCTTTTTCCTAGGTAAAAGGATATAAACACCACCGTACACAGAGGATTCCACGTGATTTTAACTTGCCTATCTGCTCCAGTAGACATTATGAGCTTGATTCTCAAAGACTGCAACTAAAATTCCACTCTACTGGTTTTTGCAACCTAATTCTTCAGGCACTTTGTTGTTTTCATTTATTTTTTTTTTAACTTTTGGCAGGATGATGTGACCCAAATTCATAAAGGAGGGTAATTTGCTACAACAGAGCATCTTGAATCTAGGATCCATATGTACTTATTTGTTACTACCACAGATTCAAAATACCAGATTTAAAGACCTGAATTCTGTTTGAACTTGACAGACTTTGAATGTTTTATAGCATGCGGGTAAGCAGTATCATTTAGAAAACCCAAATGTAAAGAGTTTAAGAATAAAAAGTATTTCTGAGATAATGAAGGCTCACCAAAGATTCCCCTTGGCCTAATAAGTACCAAAAGGACACATATACTTTCATAAAAATTAAAAATACTGGAAGGTTACTTTATTATTTTTTTAAATGTCATGTCACGCATTCTGCTGCAGAAAACAGCTGCTAAAGTAACCTAGAGGGCAATTTCAGGCAGTGCACTTGAGCAATTACAGTGATTTTCGTAGACATGCAATATTGGGATTACAGTCTAATTTTAGACAAAGTCGAATTTAAACTGAGTAGGAGGGATTTTCACGCTCCTTTAAATGTGCTAACATCGCTCACCCCAAAGCAAAAGCTACAGTGGCTGCAACACGCAGGCCTAGTGCAGCCATCATTTATTAACAGAGATATACTTCAAAAGGCTGAAACTGCAGCTCACTGGCATCAAGGAGAAAACTTGCACTCTCTTGAGGGCACTCGGGTTCCAGCCCTTAAAGCCTAAAAGCCACGGTCATGATCTCGCTGCCACTGACCTTGCTGATACAAGTGCCACTATCTTCAGCTGAGCAGGACTCCACTAGCTGTTAGGCTAACACAGTTGTCTGCAGCCATCCTATACTCTGTACATATCCTGTTTTCATGATTCCTCCCCTTCCCCGTGCATACGCAGCAAGTATTCTTAGATGCTGAGGCCAAATTGGGACTCTTGTTTTACTGTGTATTATTATTAATGCTTGTTTTAAGTCACTGACTCTCTCAAATCCTAGGCATCAAACTGAAGGGAACTGAAAGAAATAAGGTTAGCAAAGGGTGGACAGTCCAACAGACAGCACAGATGGAAAGAGGAGGGACTAGGTGAAATGGAAAACAATAAAAGAGCTTTCATTTTAGGCTAAGTAAGGCCCATGCTGGGTCTGATTAAAATTATGTCTATGTAGATTACATCTTTCCTTATTTCTCTTACCTTGTTTCTCTTGAAATACGCTCTTCGGCAAGCTGCAAAGCACTTCTCACTGCAGAAGCATTTCACTTCACTTCCCATACTCAGGGAATAGCGCTTGATTCCAACTTTCTGGCACCAGGCACACATTATTTGTACATTTGACACATCATCTTCTACAACAGAAATATAAGAACAACATTGACATGAGATGCAAGCACCTTCTGCAGACATCTGCAGCTCACAACCAGCGCCAGCTCGTCTTATTTCGACCTTGCTCCCTCTCTGAGGGGGAAATGTGCAGGCTCTGCCCCACCAGCCCGTGCCCTGTGCCAGCCAGGCTCAGGGCATGGCCAGAGCTCATAAGATAGCTGGAAAAGGTTATTACCTTAAAAATGGTGCATTGCTGAAAAGCTTTGGAAGTCTGAGAGCTTTCTGGCATTTTTAAGGGAGTATGGCTATTTATTAAATAATTAACCAAGGCTGGAGACTTAATAACTACGGCTGCTTTGTTCTTGTTGCTTACAGTCCCTTATGGGGAGCCCCGGGGTTTGGTGCAAACACTCTTGCACCAAAGCAGCGCTCTGACACGAGTCCTGTTTTAAACTGGAAGGAAGAGGAAACATCCCTTTCCAGTGCTGCTTCTACATACAGACTGGAGAACAGTGTGGGGAGCTTCCATTTGAATTTAGCAGTCACAAAATCAGAGCAGAGCAAGAAGGCAGAGGCAACGCCTTGGTAATGGTTACCTGGCTGCTTTCCAGTTTGTACTGTCACTGGTCAGAGTGTTCTTGAGTCTTTGTCAAGATCTCCTGCAAGGTGCCTTATGAACGTGGTGATGTGCACACCTTCTGACATGTAAAACCTTTCTTACCATTCCGTGAGGAAGAATTTTTTATTTCTCTGCATGCTTGTGTTAACAACCCAATGCTGTTAGCTAATTGAAGCCATTCCCTTCACCTCTGCTCTTTGATGCCTTTCCTTTGTTCTTCATATCCCTCCTTCACTTCACACTTATTTTCGTGTTGACTGGCTCTATCACTTCTGCTACCTGGAACTTCCAAATCTTTTTCCAGTGGTATTCTTTGCTGCCAACTTGTGTTGCTCAAATTTATAGTTGCGCTCAGCTCCTTTTATCAATCTTTTAGAATATGGGAGTCACTAGCATGAGGGAGGCAAGACACTAGAAGAGCAGAAACTTCAAGGAAAAGAAATATATGAGCACTGAAACGTTATTGCATTCTCTGTCTTAAAGTCTTAGCAATATTCTTGGATGGTCATTATTCTTATTCCTACTTCACACACAAGGAGAGTGAATAATTAAGTCTCTCAAACACATCGATACAGCAAGTTAGCAGGAAACTTTTGACTTAAAAGGCAGAATTCCTCGGTTCTGATGTGCAGTCTATTCTCCAGCATGCCCTTTCAGTTACAGGCATCAGCTGTTGTCTGCCTTCCCCAACTAACTTCTAAAAAATCCCCAAAGACTAACTGCTAAAACAGTTCCTCATCCCTGAGCTGTGGAGATCTCATAGCTCAGAGAGTCTGTCATGCAGTCATCCCATTTCCCTATAAAGGATTTGTTTTTGAAGCCATGCTGTCATCGTTCTGTAAAATTATTGGCAAACTAATTTTTAGCGGAGTGATTTGGCTCCTTTCCCTAGCTATCATAACTCAGAACTACGTGCCGCGTTTTATTCACCTTAACGGAATAAATATTGCTAGTTTAATAACTTTTTTCCTTCCACAAATTGTGTTATGATTTATGGCTACAAATAAAATTGTACGTTGTAAAAAAAAAAAATGACCTTTTAGTTTTAATCAGGCTGTATACCTTTAAGCCTATATTTAAGGCTAAGTCATAACATAGATTTGCGCTTAATGCATTTTATCATTTCCTCTTTAACGTGTGATTTGCCAATATCGTAAAGGCTTTAATATATTGAACATCAAGGGAAATCAAAACACTCGGGCTGAAATTATCACTGGCCATCCACGGGGTCAGCAAAGCTGCTGCTGAGCTGTTTGCAACCCGGCTGCGAGTCTGCTCCGCTCCACGATGCCATGTGAAGTACTAAGCTTGTAGAAAAGCCCCCTGTTACAACTCCTTTTGCACCATCATAAACCACTTCTTTACAGCCTGAATTTGCCCCTTTGAATTTCCCCAGCAAGAGAAGGTCCCATGAACCAGAGGAAACAGACAGCAACCTCTTGTTTCAGAAAAGCGCAATATATATTCTCCTAGCGATAATAAGCATTCTGTCTCTGGAAAACAGAAGATTTAGCAGTGATCCCTTTATAACAGTCTTCATTACTGGGAGAAGAGCTGTCATAAATGAAAAGAGAAGATTACAGGCTGAGAGAAGAGTTCACTGGCACAGTGGCTGCGGGTGTTCGGAGCGGTTGGGCCCCTCTGGGGCACGGCTGAGAAGGAGACGCCCAGAGCACGAGCACCGGGGTTCTCAGCTCTTCATTTTCATGCGTGACTTTAGAGGGGAAACACCTTAGCAAACATTCAGCTGCCTATTCACAGACCCACATAGCTCTCCCACAGATGATGAGAAAGACCACATAATCGTCTACTTTCAATTACATAAGATCCCAGCAGCAGCAACTGCTTAGATGGAGAATCTGCTTTGCTGCATGAGGCTATGCAGGACAGCGAGGCTTCCTCCACCTCCTCTGGCCAAAGACCTCCTCTAATAAGAATGCTGTCACGAAGAGGAGGGGACAGAGAGGCACCTACTGTGTTACATAGTTGGCTTCCCACGGCCTGCCCAGCAGAATTTGGACACAGCCAAAGGTGGAATCCTTAGGAGCAGCACTGCTTAACTGCTGGTCCAGGGAGATGTTAGTCAATGAACAGTGGAGAGAAGTCCACAAACTGTTCCCAACTGCAGTCTGTGCCTTCAGGAACAGAGGGCTGCTACCCAGAAGACATCGGCAATGTTCTTAATCAAAATGCCCATCATTTTGAAGGAAGGGAAGGAGGAACAGAAGGAAAGAAAACGGTGTAGTTCAATCTAGACCTCTTATTAGTAATAGTAGTACTAGTAGTAATAATTAAAGCAGATGTCTCTTCTATAGAAAGACTCAGGCACACTGCTTCTAAGGCTTGCGCCTGTGTCTGGTGCGGGTTTGCCCAAGGAGGTTTTTTCTGTAATTCCAGCTTCTCATAAAGCTTCTCATCACGTGGAAAAAGAAAAAAAAAATATCCAGTGACTAAGCTGACTATACTGGCTACCAACAAGAACTCTATGCAGCCCAGAGGGAGGAAAAATTGCCCTAAAAGCCAATCTCTTCCCAGAGAAGTGTCCACTCTTGGTGCTCACCAGAGACACAGAGCTGTGTTCTACAGGTTACGCAGCGAGTTGTGCGGCTGGCAGCTGGGCACAAGGATGAAGGACCAGACCTGACTGTGTGCTTTCCTGACACTGGTTGCAATAGAGGTCTGAGCTGAAGCCGTGAACGTATTTAATAGGGTTGCTTGATTAGAGTATATTAAGTTTAGTGACTGAAAAAGAGGACTGCAACATTAATCCAAAAGTAATAGTCCGTGTATTTCTACCATTCACAGCAGTGGGAAGCAGTAACTTTAAAAAATCCATTAAGACTGTGTGTAATAAGAAAAGCCAGAGGCCAGTGATTTAATTGCTTTCTTTTGCTAAACACACACTGGAACAATCCAAAACCAGTAATTCAAATCTTCCATTCAGGCCAAGATTCCTCTCACTTTTTCACAGACCTTTGTCTCACAAGGCCAAACTCTTTAAAAATCACTTTACCAGACTCTTGCCCTTCTTGCATGAAAACGTATCAAATACCAACATCTAGAGCGCTCAGCAAGAAGGGTCAGCAACAGGAAGGCAGGGAAGGAGGGGATTTCGATTCAAGCGGTTTGAGACAGCTTCTCTGTCATGTCTTTTTTGCCGGACTCCTTTAGATGAAGCCCGCCCTAGGTGAACTTCTCCACAACAGTAACCGAACAGGTAGGCCACATCAGCCACGAGCTCTTATTCTGTCCGGGCAAACTCTAGCTTTAGGTCTAGCTTAGCACGTGCCCCTGATCCTAAGCTGGTTGCCTCACCACAGCCGTCCCCGTCACGGCCGGAGCAGCCCTGTTGGAGAAGACTGCGGTGTCACTGAGGGCTGCACCGTCACCTGCAGGCCCCACACAAACACGCCGCCTCACGCCTGCAAAGCAGCAAGAGACCGTCTACAAGTCTAGGTACAAACCTAATCTAATCTCATCAAATGCCTACACCAAAGGAAAATTCTTAGCAATTGCTTTTTGTTTTTTCTTTTCCTGCCCTTGCAATGTGCTTAGCACGTTCTCACGTCTATCACACCTGTGAAAAATAACGAGAGGTACAAGTAAGAGCATAGAAATGCCAAATAGCAACAAGAATGTTTTCAGCAGAACTGGAAAACCAAGGAAAAAAAAAAAAGAAAAAAACATATTTCTTCATACACAGTATGAGAGCTGAACTTCCAGGCTCTGCTTTTGTAAGCTCTCAGCTCTTCATAAGAGGAGTTATTTGGGGAGTTCCAATGTTGTGTTTTTCTGCCCCTGGGTTGTGTCACTGGAGCTGGAAGAAATCCTGCCTGCACCCGCTGCACAGATCCTATTCAGATACATCTCCTTATGGCTTTTAGCCTGTGTATTTTTCATAATGAACAATGCAATAAACACAGAGTGTTTGCAGTGTTAAATCATGTTCCCAAAGGGAGCAGTTTGTATAACAAGATAAAATTATCACATTATAATAACTAAATATGCATCACTCTAAAGCATGCTTCAATTAATCATCAAAAGTTTGCACCGCCTCTTTAGGTCTTAATTAAGCAGAATGCTTGGTAGTTTTTTCCTTTCAAACCAATGCGAAGGAGCTGCAGAAAATTGTTCCTCTTTAAGCCAGCAAAGAGCAGTTCAGACCAGGCGCTCGCATCCGAACCCATTACTTGGGAGAGGGGGAGAGGAGGGAAGGCAAACCCTGCATACCGGTACATCCACCCTGCATCGCTCCGTCCCTTTATCTAAGGAAACCAGCATGGCCTGTAGTGTTTAGCAGGATGATCCTCAAATCCTCCAAATTCGGGGGATTTAAATCCTGCTCAGTCTACTAATTTTAAGGCTGCAGCATTCTCCTAAGATCATTTTGAATTAACTGAATTT